CTTTAACTTTAAGGAATGGAAATTTCAAAAATTTAGTTCTAACTGATCAAATTTTTTGTTTGTTGAAATGTTTTAAATAAAATGTTTTTTCTCAAAGTTAGGTTATGACATTTTTTGTCTACAAAATTTAAGTCATTGGTAATTATTTTATGCAATCACGGGATTAGAGTTGTGTAGAGACACCGTCGTTAAAATCATGAATATGATTTTAATTAAGAGTGTTCCTCCCGGTTCGTGATGGTCTCTGTTAAACAAAACAATTCAACCACCAAAATACACACAGAAAACACACAGTCGTTCTTTTATTTTGGCCAGTTAAAAACTGACTTTTATTAAAGGRTAATATTGAATGATTAAMAGGTGGACTGTTACCTGTTGCACATTACACTTTAAAACAGATTGTACAGTTCYCCTCTTGTTGTCATTATTATATTGTTCCCTTCTGATGTTGTTATCCTTAGTTTAATCTCTTCTTTTTATCAWATAAACATTGTTTGTGTCCTTTCGGTGATGATTCATTTCTTTTGTTAATATGGTTATCTCTTGGCATTCAAAATGGACAAGAAAGTAAGAATTTCATTGCTCAGGGAAACATGTTTTCATATGCATATGACAATAAACACTGAATCTTGAATTCAGTAAAAAATCAGAAATAAAATTGACAAAACCTTACAAGGCTTTGAGGATATCTGTAAAAAGGTTCTGGGCTGGCTGAAGTWATCAGGGACGGCATGGAGGTACTGAAGAAACATGATCTGTCGGTCCTGAAGAAAAGTGCGAGGAATTCAAAGAAGGTGGCCAACGTAGTGAAGCTGGTTACAGGGGATGCTGGTGACATGGCCTCACTTTTTGCTGGCATGGGTTGTTACTTTACTGATGGCAAACATAGGCTGGAGAAGAGTCTGGAGTCAAATCTGACAAAAAAAAAAACTCTGCAGCCTGGCAGAGGACTTTGATAAAAGACTGAGAGAGCTCATAAATATAAAGGATATGCTCAGTGAGCCTGCTGAAGACTTTTTCTGATCTTGTGCTTTTAGATTTATCGTAGTTTTACATTAGGGTAGCCTATTTCTAGCTGAGTAAGTATTGGACTGTTACAAAATGTTTTAAATGTGTGAAGTATTTTTATGGATTAATTTACACTATTAAAATTAGATTAAAGATGTCTTTTATTGCCGCTTGAACTCTTTTCTTGTACACATTTATTGAAGTAAAGAAAAGGCTGAAATGAACCACCAGGAGGCAGTCAGGTTCCAAACGTTGCACTGGATTACTTTACTCCAGTGGTTCCCAAACTTTTTATCTTCTGACCCACAAAATATTCATGGCAAAAACTTGTGACCCCAAATATTACTGGTCTGAGAACACAAACTTTGTTAATAACCCTAAAAACAAA